ATCTTGTTGATATGCTAGAGAATTTTATGGAAACGAGTGCAGCTGCACAAGCTGCAGAGAAGGATGCGCTTGAGGCGCTGAGAAAACGTGAAGAGGAACTGGAGGAACTACGACGTCGTGGTGCTGAGGAAAGCAATGAGCACAGTCGTGTTTTGGAGAACCATGAGCAAGAGAATGAGAGGCTTCTTGAGGAACTCGCACAGAAGGAAGCAGAGAATGAGAAGCTGGCTGAGGATCTCGCACAAAAGGAAGTAGAGAACTATAAACTTTCAGATGAACTTGCTTCTGCTAAAAGTAAGCTTGAGGATGCTGAGATATTTAGAGATGAGGCGGCGGAATTGCGTGAGAAGCTTCATGACTCTGAGAATCTTATTGATGAAAAGAATGCACAGCTCGAGACGTTTAATGAGCGTATTGAAGGGCTTATGGACGAACTTAATGACAAGCGTGATGAACTAAGCCATGTTATTGTTCAATTAGATGACTTTGTTGCGAAGTTTGAGAAAGCTCGAGAGGGTGAAAAGGCTGCCGTTGAAAGGCTTGCAGAAATAGAACAAGATATGTTTGAGTTGCAAGAGGGGCAAAAGGAAGAGCAGAAGGAACACGATCTAGTTGTTTCTCTTTTAAAGGAGCAGTTGGAGGGTCTCCGTGACGTGCAGTCGAAGGACGAGTTGATATGCGGAGAAATGAAAGATAATTTGGAACAACTTAAAAATTCCCTTCGTCAAGCAGATGCAGCATTATTGGAGAAAGATCAATTGATAGAAGCCCTACGTAAAGAAATTACTGATCAGAGGGAAGAAGCGCAGGCGATAATTGATGAAGTGGCGGCAGAACGCGATGTTAGGTCTGAAGAAGTGAGTGATTCACTTAAAAAACTTGAAGAGCTTGTGGAACTTTTGCAAGACGCTCGTACCTCTGAAGAAGAGGCTGTGCAAAAATGCCTCGATACTGAACGAGCTCTTTACGAAGCACAAGAAGAATTGGAAAAGCTTCGTTCGGCGCAAGTGCAAAGTTCCAGTGCAAGCGGTGATATCCCTCATGAAAAATCAGAGATGGATGCACTTCGTGCTGCCCTGGATGAGGCTAATGAGATAAACGAAAATGATAGTAAAGAGATCAGGAACCTTCAGTTAAGTGTGAAGATGTTGATGGATGCACTCTCACGCAACCAAAGCACGTTTATTTCGTCATCAGGGGTATTGAACGAAGTATGTACTACCCTGGAGACGATCGAATAGCTTAACTAAAGGTGAAGAGGCCCTTTTTAACCACTATATTCTAGTGGTAAAATATAAGATGATGCTGCAAAAATGAATCGGTTTTTTTTTTTTATTTATTTATTTATTTCTGATTTTTCCGTATTTTTCTTCATTTTTTATAAATTTTTATTTATATGTTTCTGTGATAAGTGTATAAGGATGAAAAGGAAGTTTTATAAGGATTCTTCAAGGGTGTTTTTTTTTCTTACACTTACACAAGTATGTTCGTTGAACACAGAAGTTCACACAGGATAAATAGTTCTAATTGATCTATGTTCATTATCTCACTTTAACATTTGCAAACATGTGCATGTAATTCGTTTCTATTTTCACCCTTTTTTTTTTTTTTTTTTTTTTTGATTTTGCAAGATCTTTAATTAAAGATAATAAATACAGAAGAAAAGGAGGGAATAGGTTCTTCTTTGTTTGTTTTTGCGTTATTTATTTATTTGAAGGTGCACAAGTTTAATTGTGTATTATGCCGTCTGGGGTTATTTATCTCTTTCAGGGAAAGTTCAAACTGAACCGATTGTTGGGCAAGGGTGGTTTTGGTGAGGTCTACGCCGGTGTGCAAGTCTCAACTGGGGAAGCGGTGGCAGTGAAACTTGAGCGAACTAATAAGGCTCGTTGCTTTCTCTTCCATGAAGCTCGTGTAATGCAAGATCTTCAGAACTCTATGCCAAACCGAATCGCTCCTGGAATTCCTGAGCTAAAGTATTTTGGTCAGGAAGGGGACTTTAGAATTCTTATTATGTCTATTCATGGCCCTTCTTTGGAAGATATGCATGCCAATCTCGGACGTTTTTCCCTCAAAACGACAGTGATGCTTGCTAATGAGATGATATCACGACTGGAGTTTATTCATTCCAATGGATATATACATCGTGACCTAAAGCCAGATAATTTTCTTCTGGGTATTGGTAGGCTCTCGCGTCATATTTACTTGATTGACTTTGGCCTCAGTGTTCGATATCGCTCCTTCGACGGAACTCATCGAGAGTCAGCAACAGGTAAGAGTTTTGTTGGTACATCACGTTACGCATCTCTGCGTACGCATCAAGGATTTTCGCAGAGTCGTCGCGATGATTTGGAGCAACTGACGTATATCCTAATATATCTTCATCGAGGACATTTACCTTGGTCAGGTCTACAAATCAAAGATCGTGAAGAGAAAGAGAAGGCCATTGGAGAAATTAAACAAAAGTTGACAAGTACCCAAATATGTTCAAAGTGTCCTCGTCAGTTTGAAGACCTTCTAATATACGCTCGTAAAATGGAATATACAGAGGGACCACAATATGAGATGTGCCGAATTCTTATGTCATCTGTTCTTGGTACAATTGGGCCAAATGTAAAAAATGATTACCAGTATGACTGGGTAAATTTAAAGAAAAAGGATGCTACTTCACAACATGCTGATCTGGAATCTACTTCAGTTGGAAATAAAACAAATACGAAAAAAATTAATGAGAACAGGGAAACCAATGTACTGTTAAGTAATGGGAGGGTTCAATGCATTTTGTCTGGTTTTGCCAATGGGATACCTCAAGATGTACAATTTTTGAATAGACAACAATGTTAATTTTAACTACTTCACTTTTTTCTAAGTCTCAATCACTCCTTGATTGTATGTTTTTATTGTTATTGATTTTGGTTTTTCGTTTTTTGTTTTTGTTTTTTGAACGATACTGTCCGAAGTATTTCTTCTTTTTTTTCCTCCTCTTTTCTGTTGTGTGAGTGTGTGTGTGTCTTCCTCATTTCGCTTCTGTATCAGTGCTGTCAAATTGGCGCAGCAGGAATAAAAAGAAATATATATACTACCGATGGAAATAAGAGCATGTTTGCAACTGGAGAGTCAATAAGAGAGTCTTCAAGCTCATAATGTACACTTTTTCTTCACTTACGTTCGTTTTTTGTTTTTTTGTTTTATGTTTTTGTTTTTTTTACTGGATGTTATTCGCAGATACAACAAGTACCCACGTGTATATATTTATACAGAACAATTGCATACAATATGGCTGGAGCAGTTGCCTTGGTCAATGGTTTTTTTTGTTTTTTTCTCTTCTTGAGAAGGGATGGGATATGGGATACGCGAGGCGCACCTCATCTTTTTTTTTTTATGTGTACACGCTTCTTCGTGCAACTTGTTTTCATTATGGATTTATTATTATTATTATTATTATTATTATTATT